AGAAAATAGTGCATATTGGACGCGAAGAAGGGAGCAAGTGGCCCATGGGGAAAAAAACGCGCCTGATTTAAATGTCACATCTGAATGCTCACATCCTTTTAATTATGTTTGAAATTATGAACATTGCTCAACATCATGAAAATTAAACCTTATTTTCAATAAGCAATCCTGAAAAATATTTGGGGGTGCTTAACTTTTTTCCAGGTGTATAGTTATTCCACGACAATGATGTGTGTATTAGCAATGTTTTATAAATGTGTGTATTAGCAATGTTTTATAAATGTGTGTATTAGCAAAGTTTTATAAAGGTGTGTATTAGCAATGTTTTATAAATGTGTGTATTAGCAATGTTTTATAAATGTGTGTATTAGGAAAGTTTTATAAATGTGTGTATTAGCAAAGTTTTATAAATGTGTGTATTAGAAAAGTTTTATAAATGTGTGTATTAGCAAGGTTATATAGAGGTGTGTATTAGCAAGGTTTTATACAGGTATGTATTAGCAAGGTTTTGTAGAATTTTATTTCTGTAGATATTTGTTTGTATGTACTTTTTGAATATCACTTTATATAGTCTCAGGAGGAAGTGTGTGACCTTCTTCATGCAGCACCTTTTCAGAACATCTTACCTAGGCCATACTGTAAAGGTAAGCTTGTTAATAGTTTTCATTTTTGCTACACTAGATTGTCTCCCAAACCACGTTCTAAACAACAGTTGTTTTGAATCATACACAAAGTTTTATTAATACATAACATTTAATGTATCTAGTGTAGATGTTATTGGAGACTGCTGTAGTAGGTATCTTATAATAATAATAATGATAATAATAATTATAACTTCTGATCAGAGTAAGCTAGGTACTTAGAGTCAAATCAAAAATCAGCTGGTCATCTGTGTTGTTAATTAAGTATACATTTCTTATATTTCTACTTATAAAGATTAGGGTACATTATTTCATCAGTTTCGTAATCTCACTGTAAACTGTATTTTTGGTTGTAAATCCAGTAGTATCTCATGAGGTTCAGCCAGCTTAGAAAATTTGGGTAAGTCTTAAATACATATACTAAGCTAACAATGCAAAACAATCTTTATAATAAAAGTTTATATTAAAAATAAAAATAAAAAATGAATAAAACTGAATCTGTTAAACATTCTAACCAATACTACTGATGGAAGTAACTATAAAGAAAGAATATAGTTTTCTTACTTATGGAACATAAAAACCCTAGTATGAAACAACAACACATGAATAACTAACTGAGTCATTACTCACTCAATCTTGCAATTAAGTGTGTATTAACCCTCTAACAGAATGTTATTTGTTATGGAAAAAATTGAGCTTTTTTTTATAAATTTTTCGAACTTACTGCTTGCTTTATTTCATTTATTACTTTTTCAACATGAATGCTCAATGATTAATTCTTTGATAGATTGTTTAGGCAGAGTATTCGTGATGAAATTTAGTTGAATAGATGGCAACTGTTTATTGTAGAAACACAATTGTAGGGGACAGCGTTTCAAAAATCTTCTGACGTTTGTCTTCAAGTCCAAATTATTGATTTTTTTAAACTAATTCTTATCTTGATAAATAAAGTTAAATCATCTGTAAAAATTTAAATGCTATAAGCCTTGAGAAAGTACCATAGTATTAATAAGACTTAGTTACAACAATCTTAAATATGGTAGTGAAAGTAATGAACAAAAACTAGTGTAACTTAACTAATAACTGTTATTTATTTCTAGTTACTTTGGTTAAAACTATTGTTGTAATGATTTCTATTGTTGGACAAATACCTCTTTTATTATTAAATAAAAATAATGTAGTCCACTTAATGATAACAAAAGAACAATTTCTTTCATGGACTGTAAATTACAGTAAAGTTTAAATCCACACTAACAAAACAATACCAAATTTAAATGGAAACTAGTTTGAAATTTCACGCATTCTCTTCAATTCAACGTTTGTTTGTTTCTTACAAACCAAACATTGGACTGAAGAAGATGTTTGATATGTTGAAGCTAGTTTCCATTTAAATTTTGTATTGTTCTGTTAGTTTGGATTTATACTTTATTGTAATTTACAAGTTCTACAAGCTACAGTTTAACTCTCTCTGCCCAGGCATCATTTACTGCATATGTCATAAGGTTTTAGTAACTTACATTCAAAATTTTATTAAACTTCTTTTTGTGTATATTATACCAATTAGTATAGCTTAAAATCATAGCTAATAATCCATATTTTAATAGGATATAAGTTTTAAGTTCTTAGTTTTATAAGGCAATACTTAAAAATATCCAGAATTCCCCTAGTGTCAGAAATGTGGCATATTTTCTCTAGGCATCCCCTCTTCTCTGTTCTATTCACCAACCCTCTGATTAGTAAAAAAATTTAATGTTAATTACTCACAATAAAATCGTTATTGCTCAGACAAACCATAATTTTTATATCCTTCAATTTTTTTTGGTTAGAGAGCCATCAAATACAAAATCAGACCCCTCTTACCCACCTGTCACATCCTCTTTTTCAGGATTTGTGAATAGTTCTCTCATTTAATTCTATATTATTATAACCAATAGAAAACCAACGTTTTCATTTATCAAATGACGTATTATATTATGTTGTTTTCTGAACAGAGAATTGTTAATTTCTCTGTTGGTACAAGCTTCGTTTCCATGGGAAAGATAGCAACTAGCTTGGATGAATTTGTAACGGCTCTTGTTTCATAGCTAGAAAGTGAGAAAAATTGTGATAGTTACGGGAAATTGTCTGATTTTGTATGTTATTATTCTATTTTCTTTGGTGCATTATTTAATTAAATAAAAATTATTTAGTGTACTACTGCCATTAGTATAAAAAATGTAAGGTTAAGTGTCGTCAATAGTCGACAGCAAAATAAAAGAATATCCAGGTAAGTACTTTATTTCATGTTTATTCTTTATTTATTGTTACAAAAGTAATTAAAATGTAAAAATATGTATCTCTTTAGGTAAGTTAACTTTTGATTAGGTAAACTAAATAATAATATAATAAAAATGTTTCATGAGGCACGCACGTCAGCTGTTCATGGGTAATGTAATTTGATAGCATAATGTGAGCTCCACATTCCCCAAGTGATTTACAACTTATAATAGCATGAATAGTAGTTAGACATGGTTCAATGGGCAATAAAATAATAAAATGTAAGCATAAATAGATGTATACTGTTACGAGTTTAAAGCTATCTAGGATAAACAAATGTAGTTTCATGTTACAATTTGAAGTTATTCTAGAAGTATGTGTGTATTTTTCATAGCAAAGTCATATCAAGCTATCTGCCTTGTCCACCGAGGGGAATCGAACCCCTGATTTTAGCATTGTAAACTTATTTCTGTCTCATCGTGGGACATCATTCTAGAATTGAAAAAAGGGTAATTTAGATTTTGTGTGTGTGTGTGTATGTGGTGGTGGTTACAAAGTCAGTCAAATTGACCAGCCTTGTATAGAGTTAGGGTAGAGAAAATACCAGATAAAATATAAAGTTTTATTGAAAACAAAGATTTAAAATGTATTTTGGATGTTTTAGAGATTATGCAAATGAAATTTGAGGTTTTTAAGATGAAGAGAAGTATTTCTAATCTTAACATGAAAATCACTTTGCACATGGACTAGTATATAGAAAAAAATATTCACAGACAAATCTTTTTTTAGCTTATTAAAAATATGATTTTTTGTATGTGAAAGACTTACAATGTTTACTGAAACTGCTAAATTTTGTGAAGATATACATATTATATTAAAATTTAGTTTGTTTGTTTGGAAGTTTGCGCAAAGCTACATGAGGTCTATCTGTGCTAAAAATTTAGTATCAAAACTATAAAGACTTTTAAGTGAGTACAAAAAGGTCACGAGGTCAGTCAAATTGACTGAGCCTGTGTTGAGAGAGTTAACTCATAAATAAAACAAAACAATCACTTACTTCTTAAATTTCTTCTATTATTCGAGGCATAAACTCAAAACTTGCTAACACACACTAACTAATTCAGTAATTGTTCTACAACAATATAACAAACGCACTAAGTAACTAACTGATTAACTGTCTGACTTATTTATTGACAGAAATTTTTCCCCAAATGTTATGAAAATTCTAAACATGTCAAATCTAGTCGATCTGATAGATAAATGGGAGGTTTCTGGGCATCACATTTGACCATTACATCATTCCAAAACCACCTCTAGCAAAAAATACAAAACATCTAAATTAAAATATTAGAAACATGGCCCACAACACTACTATCTCCATGGATTGTGAAGACCCCTTGAAAAATCCTGATACTAAAATAATACAATAATATATATCAAATTTAAACTTACATAATTAGTAGCACAAACACTATTTACAATAAAAAAAGTTATGCTTCATAAATAGACACTATAGTTACTAAATCATTAATTAAAGTGTGTCTAAAGTGCCCATTCATCAGATCTTGTTTTCTTTATTTTCTTTTCTGTGATTTTTGTGGCTTTGCTTTTTTTTGACATTGGAGGAGTTCTATCCATTTAGATGATCAAGCAAATCCACTAGTGGCTCCTTACTTGGTGATACTCTGGAAGTGGTATTGACAGGAATCTCAGGTACATTTAATTTTCTTCTGATGAAGTCGAAATACAATCATGAGGGATGGTCCTTATTCTGGACCACCTATTTTTCTGGATTCTACTCCACTCCTAGGTTGATGGTTTATTATCCTGTGTGCTCATCTTTTTTGTTACTTGAATTCAAATTTCTGGTGGTGTAGTGGTCGTATGGTGCATGGGAAGTTCCAGATCATAGACTATAATGCTGTTTGAAACCAGTTTAACCTCATTTCTGTGTGTCTGCATGAAGTTAGTTCCAAATATGCAGTGTTCCTTTGTATTACTTACCCATACATTATACTATCTGGAGAAGTTTTCCACAGTGAGAGTAATTTTCAACTTAACTCTTGCTAGAACCTTATGAATCTTTGCAGTTTGCACCAATCTCTCTTCCTGGGGGCTGTTTACCACCTTTTATTACCAAATCAGGTCAAATAATTGTAGCTGTATATCCAGTATTGATCAATATACTGCATGGTTTCCAGTCTGTAAATCCATCAACTCTGTAATTTTTTCTTCAAATAATACAATCCTTATTTCTTTATTATAGTTCCCTTTTGTGGCATCCTTTTGGAGGAGTTTTTATTCCTTAAAGATTTTTGTGTGCATTTCCTGGCAACATGACCTTTTAAGTTGCAGTTGAAATACCTGTTACCTTGTTGTTTACATTTCTGTTTTATGTAACTAGTTGTTTAACTAATTTATTTGGTTCTTCTAGACTACCATCAGATTGAGGTGATGTGTCTATGTTACTTGATCTGATGATTCCATAACTTCTGGATGGTGCCTTTAACTACTTATCTGTGACTTTAATCAGTTCCAGGTCTATTGTCAACAGCTTCCTTAAAATGTGCAATCGTATCCTAATTTGCATATCCTCCTTTATTATGGCATCTATGGATTGATCTTAGGCTAATGAATCCATCATTTCATGTGTAACATCCAGAAGAGCTAATTGGTCAAGCCTTTCCACATCAATAAAGAGTTCAAGTAAGATTTCAGCTTTCCTCCACACTGTTGTATCTCAGATA